ACAGTTTTCTGAGGTATTAAATTGTTGCAAACCGAATAAATCTAGGAACTGAATATACGCCATTTCTATATTGGATAAATCATTAATTTGAACAATTTCTTTGTCTCTCGGAATATTGAAATCGCCTATTATTAGAATATCTGCATGAAGCTCAAAACAAATTCTCTCTACGCTATCAAAAAAACCGATACGGAAATTCGATTATAGCGGTCATTCAATTCATCCCTACCACTTTTATAGTACGATTTGCCTTTATCCTCAAAATAAGTGTCAGTTTCGGAAATTACTTTTTCATAGGCGCCGAATTCCTTTCCAGCGAGCATTCTTCTGAAAGCTAAGAACAAAAAAGTCGATGGTGCCAGATCTGTAGAATGCCAGCTGACTGTTGTATCGTTGCACGCTTTGAAATAGGTTTACTATGTGCAGTCCACTCAGATGATGATCGTTTCGATTCTGGTATGGAATGATGGAGCCATGTTTCATCTCTTGTTACATATTGACGCCTACATTCGGGTTTTTCATAGTGGAAAAGCTCAGAATCATCTACTCGTTGTTGTTTTTGGTCGACAGTGAGCTCGCACGGCATCGACTTAGCACTGAGCTTTCGCATATCCAAATATTCATGCACGGTATGTCCAACACGTTCTTTTGATATCTTTGGAGCCCTATTTTGATCAACTTCACTTAATTCAAAATTAAACTACAAACTTTCTTTATGTTTTTGTTGTTAACACCGTCTATGGAGCGTCCACTCTGCGCATCGTTCTCGGTGCTCATTTCACCTCGTTCATGTTTAGCAAATGGAGGGTTTGAATAATGTTCATCAAGCTTATATTATTATTCTTGCTGAAAAACAACGCTTCAGTAACACACGAAACTGTTTTTTATTCATTTTCTTCAAACTAACACTTCACTCAAAATGTTCTTCCCCAACAAACTAATAGTCCGACAGCTGTGAAATTTGTACATGTTTCTTTTGAAGGTTAGGATTAACTTGAAAACATTTGAGTGTAGTACTAGTAGCCTCTTTGTTAGCCTACGAACTTCTCAGCTCATGTATTATTTCGTGTCATTATGTCAAGAAATACGTGAATATCATTTGATCAAAATTATTTCAAACAACTGGAGAGATTTGGAAAAAAAACATGGTTGCTGATTATTTGAAGGTGATTGACAATGTTGCATGATGAATTTCATTAGTCCAGACTTCCATTGTCTGATGTTATATAAAATGATTTGAAATCTCTAAAAGAACCGATAAGAAAGAAGAATTGGAAAAAGAATTGCTGAATAGCTGAAATGGAATAACAGAGAAATAAGATACAAGTAAAAATAGAACAATTGAACAAAAATAAAAAATAAAAAGTTGAGATATTTCGAAACAAGTTACTCAGCGATATTTCCATTGTTAGTATGCACAACCGTCTTCGGAAGATGACTGGAGTGAATCCTTCGAGAGATGACTATTTATTGCTCTTTCGCTTCAACGGTTTAGTGGAAGATGACCGTTGGGCGGGATTTGGACAGACTACGCTTGATTATGGGTTTCTATATGTGGGTATCTCTACGCTAGCTTGGCTGAATACATTGTTGAACAACATGTATGCAGCTTCTTTGAATTTCCTTCTAAACCAATGTTTCCCTATGTGTATGATTTCAGCTTGGGACCACTTGATGTTATGTTAATGAGTTCAAACATGCTCCGCTATTCCTGATTTACTGGTTTTCTTTCGCTGTGTGTGTTTATTGTGCTTGACAATGCGAACATTCAATGGCCGCTTAGTTTCACCGATATAGGATTTTCCGCACTCACAGGGTACCCGGTAAATGCAATTCTTCGAATCGCAGTCCGCGTTTGGTGGCCTGGTTTTTATGAAACTGCTACGGATAGTGTTTCCGCATCTAAAGCAGGTTCTGATGTTGTACTTGGAACCGATTCTTCGCATCCTCTCCGATAATCCTCTGATGTAGGGAAGTGCACGCACTGGTTGTCACGGCTTCTATTCCTTGCGAGGCTCCTGCTATCTTTTAGACAAAGTCTGTTCCACCATCGCTTCAAAATAGCCATTTCGTTGAAGATCATTTTTTATGATTTCTAGTTCCTTCTCGATACCTCCGTATTACAGAGCCCGAAAGCACAGTCTAATAGAATCTTGATCATTTCTCTGTCAGTTGATTGATGGTGGTTGGATCCGTGGTTCAGATACTGTCGCGTCTAAGAATGGCAATTCGTTGTGGAGTTTCTTCTTCACTGTGAATGTTCCATAATATGATACCACGAGAAAACTGAACTCGACGCCTTCCTGAAACACATCATCAGGGTAATTCCTTACATCACTTCCACAATGGAGAAGAAAGTCCACAACGAATTGCCATTCTTAGACTTATTGATGAAGAGGACTGACACTGAGTGGAAAACATCTGTATATCAAAAACCCTGTCACACGGGACAGTATCTAAATCACGAATCCAACCACCATCAATCGACTGATAGAGAAATCATCAAAACTGTAATAGACCGTGCTTTGATACGAAGGAAGGTCTCGAGAAGGAAATAGGCAAGATCAACATAGGAGATAGGAAAATCGAAAATGATCTTCAACAGAAAGGCTAGTTCAGAGCGATGTTTGAAAATACTTTGGTTAAAAGACAGCAGAAGCCTCGAAAGGAAGAGAAGCCGTCACAACCAGTGCTTGCACTTCCCTACATCAGAGAATTATTGGAAAATATAAGACGAATTGGGTCCATGGTCAAGATTCAAAACCTGATTCAGATCCAGAAACACTATCCGGAGCAGCCTCACGGAAACCAGGCCACCAAACGCGGACTGCAATTCTAAGAATTGCATTTACCGGGTACCCTGTGAGTGCGGAAAATCCTATATCGATGAAACTAAGAGGCCATAGAATGTTCGCATTGCCGAGCGCAAGAAACACACACAGCAAGGGAATCCCAGCAAATTAGGAATATCAGAGCATGTTTGGATTCATTAACATAACATCGACTGATCCCAAGCTAAAATCATACACAAGGAGGAACAATGGTTCAGGAGGAAATTCAAAGAAGCATCATACATGCTGTCCAACAATGTATTCAGCCAAGCTAGCGTTGAGATACGCAACATATTGAAACCTATAATCAAGCGAAAAACGGCCAACTCTCGCCAAACCGTCATTTCCCACTAAACCGTTGAAGAGAAAAAGGAAAGCGGAGATGAGTGAAACTACACGAATGACCCATAAATACTCATTAATCAGAGAAATTACTCCAGTCATCACCCGAAGACGACTATGGATACTAACAATTGAAACGTCGGCTTGGAATATTTTAACTTTTCATATTTATTTTNCAGGTTAAAGTTCATAAATGGTCTTGAAAACCTTTCAGTTCAAGGGATCTGCGTTATTTTTCAACATTCACCAGTTATTTATGAAAAACTATTATGATTTGTAGTGGGGCGATCCCAAAGAGTACTAAATAGTGATTTTATGTTGTTAACAATTGGTTTTCAAGACTAGATCTAGCAAGCTAGCAAATCCTCCATTTCGTTCATGAATCCTTATTTGGTTGTTTATAAAGTAAATAGGTAGCCGATTGATATTGGAAAATGTAGGCCCTTTGATATTACAGATATCAAAATCGGCTCTCGTTTGAAGAAGAGGTTCTCATTAATGGAGAGAGGAATCACAAAGTATATCGAAATCGGAAATTGAAGTCACAGATAGCTTAGATATAGAGAGCTGACCCTATTTTGCATTGATTTTGGTTTCGGTATTTGCCAGAATGAGGATACTCTTCATTTGCAAAGATTCTGCTATTGCGGAAATGGATTAGAGTTATTGGTTCTTCAGCCAGTGCAGTTAATATACTATTTTCTCATTCACCGTTGATGAAATGACCTTGATGATTGACAGAAATAGTTGTTTTCAAATAACATCTGCAAAAAGATGTTATCGAATCGTTATGTGGACAAAGTTGTTTGTCTGTTTCATTGTAAATCAATTCGATTCTTTTATTTCGAGTGGAATTCAGTTGCTGTGTTCTCCATTTGCCTAATTTCACCGTGTCCTTACATTTTGCAAAACTGATTACAATTTTGATCTTGGTTTGTTAGGCTTCAAGTTGATATTTATCGTTCTGTTTATGGCCACTCAAAGAAACATTTATCAACTGAACGAAACTACACCCTAACAAAGAATCGATATTACCAATACCATCTGTTATTTCATCACTAGAGTGATCTCTCAACTGTTGTTATGAAAACATGTCAAATGGTTTGGAATTCATCCAAGAGACAAAATATTTTTAAATTTTCTTAGCATTATTATGAGAATATAATATTTTCCTGATATGAATAATAACCAGTCCGTGCAGAGCTTATTGTTAAATCATCTGAAAATGGAACTTTTAACAGATGATTATCGACTGTATTGCCAAACATGTGCCAAACTAACTGACTGTTATAAGAAAACAAGTATAGCTGAGGCACAAACATGACTCAACCTCTGACGGGAGCACCAAACTGTTACGAAGGTTCGAAATAGATGAACACTTCAATCTAGCAGACCACTATTATAATATTTATGCAGTCATTGTTCACTGTGGTTCTGGCGTTAAATCTGGTCATTATTACGCCTTGGTCAAAGATGAAACGGGCTGGTTTACGTTTGACGATAGTCGTATCAATAAGTGTTCTGGCGATGTATTGAATTTATTGGAGCTTCTGGAGACACCCTATATTTTATTTTATGAAGGAGAGGACATTGGCAAATCAAGATCTTCAGTTGATGTGGTGCTGCAGATTTTCCCGGGTTTTCCTGCAGCTCAAAAAGCAAATGCGCCACTGGAATCAATGAAGTCTCCTCGGAGCGCCAATTAATTTTTGTTGTTTGATAATTTCATGATTTGTTTTATAATTTCATGATTTGTATTTCATCAAAAATTATGTACATTTTCTAATTGATTCATTTTAAGGTGATTCCATTTATAATTTTTTTCAGCATGTACAAAGTTTGCGTAACACGTATCTCAACAGTATGGCAGCATTCTGAAATACTATTCAATTTTGCATCACAGAAAAAGAGGCATGATAAAGTTAGGAGAGATTTCAGCAACTTCACCCAGAAGGTGAGTTGGAGTCACAATGTCTTTTTGCAATTTTTGCACGTTTAATCAAGTATAATATATGAAATTTATGGATGTAAACATTACTAAGAGGTGAGAGACCTTCATGAAAAAAGAGAATTGGAATGTATGTTTTTATACCACAGATGGAGAAATAATCGAAAACCCATCAAACTCAAATGATGGATAAAACGCGAGTTTATCAAAATTCTTGGTATATTTTTGGAAGTTGTCGGATGAAACTCCAATTTGGTTCTGGTTATTATACACATACCAATGGTATGAATTCACGACGCAACGCCCGATTGCACGATCCACAAGCCACCGTTCTAAAATCGAACGAATTGTCGAAGCATGTCTAAGTTTTGGCTCACCCACCATATTCCACAGACCTCTCGCCAATCGACTACCGTTTTCCAAAGCACTTCAATAACTTTCCCGCCGGTAGCATCTTCGCGAATCAGGGCAAGGCAAAAACGGCGTTTGTCGACTTTATCGAATTCCAAGCACACAATTTGTTTTTGACTGAATCGATCGAAGTTGGCAAGAGTGCACTAATTGCGCTTATTTTGATTCAATTGAATAGGTATCCACTGAGATATTACAGTTCAAAATATACTCATAAAAATGATCAAAACTGTTGAAACAGCCAAAATTATTCCACAGTTACTTTAGCTTCATAATTATTATATCAACCAAAAACAAATTCAATATTGATAACATAGCCATTACGTCACTATCAAATGTACTACTTTTGTTTCAGTAATTGATATACAAAGGACTTCTTTCAAAAAAGCCACGCAAAAGTTCATTTTCATATAAATACCATTCGTATTATTGAAAAAATATGAATAATTTCGTCCCCATTGCAGAAAATTCTCCATTTAAAATAACGTAGGCAAAGGATCAAACAACAAAATAGTCTAAATCGGAGCGGAATCGAAGGACTTTATACTATAACAATTTTCAATTTTTCACGAGCTACGTAACCCTTAATTTGAGCCCAGATTGATTCAGGTTTAACCCGCAATGGTAAGGGAAAGTCTCAAAATGAATGGTGATGCCTTCAGCACGAGCTATTGTATCCACCACATGCTGGCAATATCTGTCACGATGCTGTTCAATGACACTCATAAGCTCGGCATTAACCATGTCCTCGGAAATGGAATTCCTTTCTGTTCTAAACAACTCTGCAAGACTACTTTTCTGGTGGTCATAGTTGGCAGCTGTTCTACTAATCGGCTGTGACAAAAAAAGCGTTATCCATTACTATTACCGAATTTGGCTCGACTCGTGAAAGAAAGGAGTCAAACTATCCTTCAAAGCTTCACTATCGTCTAAAAAGCCACTCTCGCTACCTATATGGGTGAAAATTAGTCGTTGCCCTTTACCTGTTGGTCCGCGTAACCTTGTTGATAAACCGTCCATAAATGCTTGACGATAATTAGTTACAGTAGTATCTTGCCAGATCTTAGATACTATGTGACCAGCATTCACCTACGTTTCGTCCAGATAATGAATCTTTTTGAGAACAGAACGCATTTCTCTAATAGGGTGAAGATATCTCCGTCTCCATGCGACTATATCTTCTCTTTCTATTGACACAGATTTACGGGATCGTTTGGCATATATTAATTTTAAATCTTCTTTTATTATTTTCCTTAACTTCTCGTTGCTCATTTTTGGATTGAGATCATTATCCATTACCTTTGTCCTAATGGATTCAAGGGTTACCGCTTTATTCTCAAAAAAGAAAGAATGAATGGTATAGCGTACAGAAATTTTCTGATACTTGTCTAATTCAATTTTTTTTTACCAAGACAATGTACTTTTGGAGCTTGTATAATCCCAGTCACCTTTTTTTCACGTACTATGCGTTGAATTGTCGACACGGATATTCCCGTTAAAAATGAACACTGGGCTACAGCTTCCACTGTACGGAGTGTATTTTTTAAATTTTCGTACACTCTACAGACAATCTGTTTTTCTTCTAACGACATAAACTTCCGTTTTCTTTGTACATCACTTGGACCTGCTACGGCATCCATCTTAATACTATAAAAATAATAAAATTCAATGATATAATTCAGCTATTTGTCAGTTTTTTACTTACCTCAAAAACTATTTTAAAGTTAATGCATTTTGAAAAACACTTTATTGTGAGATTTTCACTAGAACAGATTAACAAATCCGCAACAAGTGTTTCGCTGCACAGTAGCTTTTTCAAGCGTGTTCACTAATGAACTGAATTCTACATACATTGTGATTTATATATACATTTTGAAATATTACTATCTACCTATAAACTAGGAACTGATTAATGACAGTAATACTTGAGTTTAATGACTAGGTCAACTAATTATCTCACAATGAAGTGTGAATGTGTGAAAATCTATGATAATGTATTTTGAAAAATAAGTATCGGCCAACTCTATCTTATATTTTGAAGTTAATAAATATAACAGTCTATTTAATAGATATAATAAAATATATTTAATAAATATAAAACAAAGTCACCTTCACAAGAAACAGAACACACTACGCCTATGCAGATAAGGACGCTTGATAATGAAGAAACTGGGACGCAAATATAATAGACCTGCGAAGTGTTGATCACTTAACCGATGTTTCAAAGTATTTAACGAACTCGTTCACCTATTCGCTCGTACATCCTATCGATATGCAGAAGCTATCTTCTTACGGGGGGCAAATTTTATGGAATCATCTTACTTTTCAATTATTTACAATGGCGATGCATAGACAATGAAAACGACCCCGGTAAGAATTTAGTTCTAACATTTCACATTGTTCAGTTCAATTTGTATATGAGTTACCCTCAAATGAAAATTGTCACACTTTTTTATAGAGAAAAACGCTTCTTTGATTTGCCTATTGGTAACAACGGCTCCAAAATCGTAACATTCATATTTGTACGTGAGGTGATCATCTTCAAGAGAAAGATCAAACTAAATCTACATGCAATGTTGTCCTAATTCAAATCATAGACACCTCTGCTAAGTAACTGCGTCTTGATTGTCTTAAAATTAATTTCACAATGTTGCCTTTTCTACTAGTCAGATAATTCTGATAACTTCCATTTCTTGACGTTTTGGTAATGAGGAGCTCATGTGGAGAGCTAGGAAAGAAAGGAAACAAGCACTTACATGTGTGTGTATTCCCGGCAGATCACATAACTGTGGACAGCACAAACGTGCTGGGCTGAATTTTCTAGTGCATCGTCTTTTGACTTTTCCTCTCACAGATGAGAGGTTTACAACAGAAAAAATGACAATACAGGAAATAGCAGTCATTAACGGTTTCTCGAAGGTTATTGTAGATGATATTATAAGGAAGAAAACATTTAGCTTAAGAATGAACGAAATGACCGAAAATCGATTCCAGCAGTTGTATCGCCAACAGCATATGCAGGAAATACTTCTGTGAAGACTCCTGCACTGACACCTGTTGATAATCCAATCCTTCGTGGTATAAGCCCAGGTAATAGTTGCTTTCAGATAGGTGTCAGTCCATTAACCTACAGTGTAAATAGGTCGAAACTGGCCTAAACAAATTCTTCTATCAGTTAATTTGATTTACAGCCAATCTTCAACTGAATCTACGTGAAGCCATCTCGACTTTTAGAAACGACGAAAACCAAGAAAAATAAGAATATTATAATAATTAAAAATAACAGTTTGGTTGGGACAGAACTCCAGTAATATTCAAATTTGTACACTTCATTTTGTTATTACATTTATATTTCTGGACTATAAATTATTTTCAGGCAATTGATGATTCTCGAGCCCGAAGGAAATCGGAGTATACGCAGACAAACGACAAATTCCTTCCAGCTATCGATATTTTAACCAAATTAGATGAAGATTGTTCAGATCTATTCACCAACCAGGAACTGAAGGATAATTTAGTTACTTTATTTGCTGCAGTGAGTATATTCATTTTGAAACAAAGTTTTAGACTATTATAATAAGCAAATGTACGAGAATGAGAAATTTCTTTTCTAGATTGGTCAAATTGGCGAAAACAGTATCTGAAGTTGACTTGAAGATGTAACTTTCGTATTGTATGAATGTATGAAATCTTTGTCTAAGAGAAAGAGTGTTAACTATCAAAAAGTATCTATTTTTTTATCAAAAGGTCGTTGATTACGTTTCAATGGTCTGGTGGTGTTATGGTGCGGTTTGAATGCAGATTGAACCGGAGTATTCATCCGAGGCGGAATCTTCCAGGATTGTCTTACTCCAAGGTGTTCATTCACCCTTCTAATTTTGAAACTGAACAGTTGTTGGACTACAGTAGGAATGATGAAATAGTAGGGATGAACTACGATGTCTAACAGGCCTTCTCACAGGTTAGTGTCATCTGAATCATCATATGCAGAGATTCGACTGTCGGAAGACGGTTTGTGTCGCCTTTGTTGGAAAAATGAGGAAACAGTAGAGCACATGCTTTTTGCCTGCTCCGCTGTGGACCGAATAAGGTTTTCAGAGTTCAATAGAGCTGTACCCTTACCATTTAACCTGAAAGACCACTAACCATACAAACTAATTGGCTTCGTTAAGAAACTGGGTTTATTTCGAGTGTGAACAGGTTTGAGCCACAATATACCCTTCCTTGTTGTGTTTTAGGGTCAATTTTGACCCACCCACCTCTCATCTAACCTAACCTAAACTACTGTTCTGATCGAGGAGACGCTCCCTAAGGTTCAAACCTCGAACCGCTCCCATTATTATTGTTCATTGATGATCTTTCATATATCTTCAATTCATCAAAGTTATTCAATGCCGATGATTTTAAAATAAATGAAATGATTGTACCTCTTACTGTTTGAATTTACAGTCTGATATCAATGAAATCAATGTGTGGTGTTCTGGAATTACTCCAAGTTGAATTTTTTGAAGGACTACGTGGTATCTTTCAGCAGAGAGATTTTTTAAATCCCTATCATTCGAAATAACTGGAGTATATCCTGGAAGGGGTACATGAATAACGCCTTTGCCTTGGATGTCCTAGCCCGTAGGCCTTGCATAGGGCATCTTTCCTGTTGTCAAGGGAACCCCTACTCTTACGAACTCACCCCCTCCCCGTACCACCGTTGCAAGGCAACGGCCATACGAGGAGATGAATCAGCGGGGTAGAAGATCCTTTTTTCATTTTAGTTCCCAAAACAAAACAATTACAAATGTTATCAATCCTAAACTCAACATTTTCATACTAAAATTACAACAAAAAAATAAATTAACTCATAACATTGTAGCTACCTCCGTCAATCCGATAACCCAACGTAAACTTCGACGTAAATCTGTTCTTCTTTCCCAGCCCCTATATTTGTTATATATAAACTATGCTGCACTTCCTTGGATTCGTTCACAGTCTAGCGGTATCGTTCGAGCCATGTTTGTCGAACTCATTACCCCCTCCTTTTACTGTTCACTACGCTGGCTTGAGTGCAGCTCCACAGCTATCCTTCCCTTTCTTCCCTCACCACGTTCTCCGCCCATTTATTAACAAAACGTATCCATTCAAAATTTTTCCCATTTGTATCTCTCAACATGATTTCACTTCGTATCCTTTCCGTTCTCTCCTTCCATTCTCTCCATCCAATCCTGTCCCCGTTCATGCATCTATCAATCACATGCTCTGCCGTTTCAGGCTCCCCGTACTCATAGGCCCAGGTTAAATCTTGCCAGGTATCCCGGAAAGTTCCCATGTCCAGTGAGCAGTTGGACAGCCTTCCGCGACAGATTCAGGGATTCATATCCGACTGTTCTACAGAACCTGTACGGAGCTTGTAGAACAGCCGCCTAGTCGTGCCTCTCTCCCACTCCCTCTGCCATTCTCTCCTAATCTGCCATTCTTCTCCTCTCATCAGTTTTACTGTAAGTCCTCGTCACTTCCCACGTAATATCTGCTCTATCCATGCCCTTTGGTGGCTTCTTCATGAGCCTTCGCATTACATTCATTGTTCCGGTCGTGCCCCCTCCTCCACGTAATCAAGGTACTCCCCTTCCATGCCTTTCCACAATCATCCGCTGAATCATCGCTGCCCTTTTACACCCCACTCTTTCTGCTTTCACTCTTTCTACCGCCATTGCAGAGTCACTGACTACTTTCACGCTCTCATCCATGCCCCACATGCTGATCACTCGCTCGATCGCAATCAGCTCTGCCACGTTCACGCTGCTTTTTCCGGTGACCCTTTCATTCCCTTTGATCCTCTTCTATATGCCCAGCCTATTCCTATTCTCTCTTCCTCTATCCTCGCCCCGGCATCTACAAATACTTCAATCACCCCTTCGTCCTCCCTCTCCTCCAGCAACTCCCCTTGCAGCCAGGGGATTATCCTATCTACTCCTTTCACTCTGTCCTCAGTCTTCCGTATCCCATTATCTCTTCATTCTTGGTACCTGGCCCATCCCTCCACCTGTAATGGCGCCATTCCGGTGATGACACTGAGTTCAGCCATCGGCGTCGTCCTGTAAGCACCACACGATACCAACAGAAACGGCCTTTGCGCTGCACTCAGCTGCCTTCTCACCCTGCTGTCATGTACTTTATTCCCCCACACCTGTACTCCATACAAAGCAGCAGGTTTGGCTACCCTTCCATATATCACTCCCACACATACTTTTTTTAGTCCAATATTTCTCCCGATCCACCTTCTCATTTTTCCTGCCAACTCACTCAGCCTCTTCCTCACTTCCTTGTGGTGGTCTATGAACAATAATCCAGAGTCCACCACAATTCCGAGGTACCTAACACTCCTTTTCGTTTCCATACTTCTTCCATTCATTTCTAGGACCGGAGGTCTTTCATTCTTACTAGTTGGTATGTACATGCACTCCGTCTTCCTTTCGTTGTAGCTCAGCCACATCTCCACCTCCCATGCCTAGCATTCATTCCATACCAACTTCCATGTATCCTCTTTATTTTCGACGGAGTTACCTTCAATGATGACAAGATGGTCATCCGCGTAGGCCTGCACTTGTACTCCAATTGCTCCAATGCCTTGTCTACTTTTCATGCTGTTGATACGCTCGAACCATGTTTCCATCACTATCAGCCATAGGGTCGGTCCCAGACTTGAACCTTGTGGGCAGCCTCTGTACAGTCCTACTCAATAATTTCAGCTTCATGTCTCTCACCTCACGTTCAAAATTATCAAGCATCATATTTTTCTGTAACTTGATCAAGAGAAAAGTTATAGGTGAAGGTTTATTGTCACGAATGAAGTTTTCTGTTTCCCAGTTCAATTCAAGATACCACATAACCTTATTGTGATAACTATAGAACAAATGTCCTACGAAGAGCTCATGTGTCAATGCTTCAATAAAATATGCCAAGGCTGTAACATACTTTGCTGCTCAAAAAAATGTATGAGTAAAAAACAATGAATTGAACATATAAATCAACGAAAAAAAGTTATACATTAATGTATGACTTTTTTTTGTCGATTTAAATGTTCAATTCATATATGTTCAAAGTAGAGCAGATATTTGATTTTTGATTTTTTGACTGAGAGACCCCGTCAATCCATTTTTCTATACATCTCCAGTCGCTAAGATTCTCTCTCCATTTTGGAGCCATTTTCAAGAATTTGATGTGACTTGACGCCGGGGTCTCAATCTGCCTACTCCCCAGGTCTCGTCGCGAGTTCTCTCTAAGGTCTCAATCTGACTACTCCTTAGATTGAACTGAGGTGTCAATGGGTGTTCCGTGGTATTTACATCGACGGAAGATACTGACGCGGAAAGGTGGTGGCGGGGCTTCGGGTGATTACCTTCATCGGATGTTTTGGTGGGGGGGTTAGCATCGAGAAATTAGGGGTTTCCAGGCAGTTGGAAGTCTTTGATCGTCATCACGTTTGTTCAGGCACAAAGGTCACTTTTCAATTTCGATGGTCTCGCGAATTATCCGAGCTTATAGTGTTTTCGCTGTGACGATGGTCTTAGTGTTCACAAAGTCTATGTTGTGCCCTGTTTTGATGATGCTTTGATAGGGCTGAAAATGGGTCTGACTTTCAGACAGCAAGTTGATGTTCATATACTCTACTTGTCACCCGTCCGTTGGTCTGTCCTACATATACTCTTTCGCAATCGGAGCATGGAATTTCATATATACCCTGGGATTCATGGATAATTTTGTCCTTGGGAGAACGAAGGAATGTGGAAATTTGATTGTTGGCGGTGAATATCGTTTTTATGTCCTTTTTTTTTGAGAATTTGGCCAATTTTGTCAGTTACACCTTGGATGTAGAGAAGGAAAGCTTTGTGGGGAACATTAAAGGTGTAACTGACAAAATTGACCGAATTCTGAAATCAAACATTTCCTGTAATTGGCTGTTAGGTAATGTCCGTTGGAAATAAATGCCTATCTATCTATCTACCTATCTATCTATATATAAATACACTCTTTGACCTGATTTTCTAATGCAATTCGTATTACTCATGCGAGGTGATAGTTATAGGTTCCAGGTCTGGAGAGTCAGCAAAGGTTTCAAGGGAATATTTTTCCAAGAACTGAGGAATTGACAGGTCTCAATAACCATGCTGTAATGATAGCTGAGTGTTTCATCAAGGTCTAGTTTAGTTGTTTCATTCGAAAAGAACGATTATCCGACACTATAGTATTGCTATATATGACAAAGATCTTTTTGGTTCTTGAAACGGTGCAGTGAAAATAATTCATCGACGAAACAGTCAGGTTGTGATATTGATTTAAAATGCTCGTTTTTGCGATTGGGAATCCTCAAATTGATGGGACCCCCTAGAGTACGTTTTCCTTATGAAAATATTAGTGGATCTGAGATTATTTAATTTTTATTTGCAGTTTTATTTGTCCTAAAGACAAAATTGACAGTACTTCATTACATCCATTTCAAATTTTGAATTGCTGGTTATGTTCAACATCATATTGAAATAATAATCTATGGTTTTTAGACTGAAGATCCTCTTGGTCTGATCTCCTCGTTCTCAGTCCTTTGCTTTGGAATGTACCCTGAGTACCAGGTGAGTTTACCATGAATTGATGTATTTTTATATCACTTGTATCTAACCCTTGTATTTACTACTCGTATATACAAGCGGTATGAAAACATAGACAGTTTTAATTCTCATTTTTCACAAATCTACGATAAATATGATGCAATGCCTAAACCTGTCTATTTATCAATCTTATATGTTATATATTATATTTGAGAAAATGAGTGTTTCTGAACAGATTATTCTTACTATCAGTGCAATACAAAACGATTATTGTGTCACTATTTGAGACTTGTAATTACAAATAGACACAGAAAATCATGTGCCTTAGTATGACTCAGTTGGAAATTTCCTATTGGTTTGTTCGAGTTAGTACAAAAAATATTTCAACAATTAGGTTTTCTCTGTGATAGTTGAGTTACTCTTATTGACTGTTACTTTGGAAGCTTCTGGAGAAATTTTGATTATTATATATAAGGTTCCTCTGAAACTTTTCATCAAATCACGAAACATTTCAACCAATGATGAAATTTTAATGTGGGACAGGAAATTATAGAAATTCTTGAATTGGAACAAACTCGTGCGATAGTACTGCAATCACAAACTAGCGAAATGGTCGAAGTTGACAATAAAATCGTCGGCCACTATCTGTCGATATTTGTTACAAAAAAAAGTTAATTTCTTTTTCCAAAGCGTCCATCGTGAGACTGAAGATATCTACTCCATCAATGAAATCAAAGAAGAAGAAATGGAAGTTATAAGCGATCTATCATGATGAATTTTCGCTACAGAATGAGAAGACGGAGTTCACCTTTTGAGATCTGACTATTTATAGGCCAGTCGAGTGCTTTCACCTATCCCCTCTTCTCTCTCTCCGCGGGCGGGAGTTGGTCGTTTTTCGTTTGATTAGAGGTTTCCATATGTTACGTATCTCTACGCTAGCTTGACTAAATGCGTTGTTGGACAACATATAAGCGGCTTCTTTGAATTTTCTCCTAAGCCAGTTTTTTGGTTGTTGTTTTGGTTTCATGTTATTTCTTTGTAATTTCAGTTTTTTTGTTCAAATGGAAGTGTTATTTGCGGTTAATATTTTTAATAATTTTCAGGAATTTCAAATCAATTTATATTATATCAGACATAGGAAGTCCGAACTGATGAAATACACCACGAAACATTGTCAACCACCTTCAAACAAGTATATGATTTGATCAATAAGAAGGTATTGAGTGGCTAATAGTTGATGATTAACTTCTGCATTACTCCCAACAGTATCCTTGAATCAGTTGTTTTTCCTTCCAGTTTGTCTTTCTTGTTTTGTAATGATACCTTCGAATTGTATTTTGTCATTTTTCATAAAGCAACAGAACTGAGAAAGAATCCTTTTCAAATCGACACCCAGTATATCTCTACGCATATATAGTTCATGTTGTGTATGTACAATTTTTCACGGAAGCTTAGAAATATTCTTCTTTTTTAGACAAATGGATTCTACCTAAGGGAGCTACCGTCGCTATTACTGCACATTATTTCCATATGAACAATGCATTTTGGGAAAATCCAAAACATTTCCATCCAGATCACTTTCTACCGGAGGCAGTAGGAAAGAGACACATTTATTCGTATTTGCCATTCAGCGCTGGACCTAGAGGATGCATTGGTATGGACAAATGATGTTGTGTGTCACGAAAACCTAGACAGAAGTGATAACTCCTACGTACTGTATATTCAAATACCCGAAACTATAAAAAAACTATATCAGTAAAAACACCAACTCACCAAATCCACATTTTCCTTCGAAGAGTACGTATAAATATGTGATAATATCTAAATTCGAATATATCAAAATAGTATGGTTCGATGCTTTAAGTCATTACACGGAATCGTCCTGCATGATCATCGATTCATATTCGATTTACTTCCATCCTGTAAGAATTGACAGTCATTTTCATAAAGGTGTAGCCAAGTTTGCTTTCTGAGACAAGATGATACCCACTAAGGGTCCAAATTTTGCCATCTTGGGGCTAATTTTCTGCTACGCAGTGGTTGATAGTTTCCGATCTGAGAGTCAACATTTTTCAATAACCTGATGAGTTGTTCATTGCGCAAAGTTTTCGAATAACTCATTTATGGAGCAGTTATTGATTAGAAATTCAATAGTATTTGTCGATAGCCTATTACCTGGTCTATTGCTATAGTCATTTGGATCATCGATAATATCTTCGATAACGGGTAAGGGAAAATTTTGGTTTTTTCTGATCTTATTGTTTTATCGTCTCAGTAGAATAAGAAAATACCTTTACTAAAATAGTTACAATTTTTGCGCATCTGTTAATATTTCCCAAGCTGACATTAAGTTTTGTCAATAAATAAATTTCTGAATTTTCGAAGAGGGATTTTCTATTTTGTGAAGAATGAGTGTTATGTGGACAATTTTCTATTTTTTCCAAAATCTTAAATTGACTCCACATTTTGAATCAAACACCATAATCACTTTCTGAAATTTCAGGGAAAACTTTTGCCAACATCAGTATCAAGACCTTCCTGATACACTTGTTGCAGAGATTTGAAATCGAAGCTGATGGAAAGGTTCCTGATATTGCACTTATGTCCGATATTTCTGTAAGACCTAAGAAAGGATTCAACGTTAGATTGAAGAAAAGAGTCTGGAGTTGAATAATATAATCATGTGATAAAGATCAAGGAAATTTGTTTAATAGAAAATTTAACTGAAAAATAAACGAGTTTCAATCCAACTTGTCTATTGTTAAGAAATATCAAGGACTGATGTCATATCTCATTGAAATAGTTCATGGAAAAAAAAATTCAATTTGACCTATCTATGCCAAAAACACAGTAACTGATATATAAACGAAAAAAGAGTTAATAATAATATTAATAATAGTAATATTCTTTATTCAGTAGAATACAGGTTTACAAAAAAGATGATCTTCCACTCAACCTTTCGACAAACAGAACAAAATATCGCAGACAATTAATGAAAATTTAACCGCTTTCTAGATATTAGAGGATTTCATAAATTCAAACAAATGTTGTCGAAAGGAGGAGAGTTTCATATTCTTGAAATCATTTGGAATAGCATTGTAAGTGGTCGATACATTTTAGGAAAAACTTCTCTCAAACAATGGTGATTTGTGGATCGGTGGTGTTATAGTACCTTTCGATCTTATATTAGGAGTGTGAACGTCAATGCGGAACACAATCTTTCTATAAAGGTAGGAGGGAGTTTGGGTAGTTATTATTTTATGATACAAGGTGGAGCAGTGAAGTTTTCGACGAGATTTCATATTCAGCCACCCGGCTTCTCGTAGCTTATGACTGATGGGTTGACGCCTACGAATACCATAGATGAAGCGGAGACAATAGTTTTGGATTTTCTGGATTTTTGCGTAGATGTTGCCGTAAGACAAGAGCTATAAACCGTATCGCAATAAGTGGAAGTAGAAAGAATTTGAGACTCGCAAAGTATTTTTTTAAGATTCATATTAAAAGTTGCTCTAGGTCCAAACAAAATTTTCAGTTTCCAGATACTTTTACGAATGCATTCCGAAATATGCTCTTCGAATCGTAAGGAGTGATCTATCCAGAGCCCAAGATTCTTCACCACTTCACAAAACTGTACAGGAATGTTATTGATAGTAATACAGAATATCAACGAAGACCTTGATAGAATTTTCAAAATATCCAAAGATCATTCTCTCTCATTGAATGTAAACAAATCTAAGACAATGCTGTTCGGGAGGCGAAATGACAGACTTCTTCACCAAAACACAAAACGACATGTGTTGGTGTCGTCTCGAAAATTTGTTGTTTGCAATGTGTTTTTTATTTTTATTTTTCATATACTTATCTAATATGTCTGATGATTTTCAAAATAGTATTATCATCAACACGAAAAAACTACTTTTCGAGCCCTGAAGAAGAATTTGATTAAATTCGAAATGTCGGCAAGAATACAATTGTTTTTTTAAGAAAAAATTGATCCTGTTACCCAACCAAGCCCCTGTTTCAAAAAAATTATTGGATCACTGAACTAGTTAACTATTTTTCAATCCTCATTTGACAAATTATCAATTTCCATAATTTTTGATTTTTTCAAAAATTGTGTTGCATAACAATAATAATGTGCTACTAAGAGTAATAAGACTTGCCATATCCAAGCACAGCTTGGCTACAAATGGTTGATAAAGAATCTGAATCTGAATCAAATTCGATGCACTTCTGCCAACATAACAATAGTTGATTAATTCCGTGAGCATAAAATTTGTGTGCTCGGGATTCGATGAAGCAGACGTAGGTCGTTATTGCCTGGTCCTGATTGGCGAAGGTTCTACCAGTGAGAAAGTTATCGAAGTGTTTGAAAAGATGGTTGGCGAGAGGTCTGGGTAGTTTGTTGGACGAGGCAGAAATTCGACGCTAAGTTCTTTTGATTTTCGGATGGTGATTTGTGTTGGCCCGGTTGCAGTAAGTTGAAGTGAATCACACCCGCCGCTGACCACCATACAGTAATCATGGTATTTTTTTGGTGGGTTTTTGCCTTTGGGAAGTTCCTGGGTATCTCATCGGAGTCCAATCACTGTCCTGAACGTCTTCTGTTGTCGTGGAGGATCCATTTTTCATCACACGTGACGATCCAATCTAAAAAAGGATCGTTTTGGTTGGGTAAAGGCAAAGAAAAACGTTGCAATTTCTGACAATCGTTCAAATTGTGGAGCACCCACTTTTCGAGTTGTATGACCTTTCCGATACGTTTTAAACCATCAGAAATTGCATACAGGTAACGTCCAGTTCTTCCGCCATCCCAGGCGTCGTTTGTGAAGTAGCTTCTTTCTTCAGAACAAAACACAACCACTACAGAAAAATCCTTAAGGCTCTCTAAGAGTGCCTGTGCGGAAGTAGTGACTCATATTGGATTTGGATCGCTAGAGATCAAACTCGTTTGGAAAAACGTTGTCAGAAAGTTTGTTTCACATAAACGCACTTCTCCAAAGGAAAGAGTTCTTGAACAGTGAAGTTCCAGGTGTACTGAGTTTAACCTCAAGTCGATGAGCGGCCACAGTCCGTTGCGTATTTCTAATATGTAACGCTCTTGGTGAGCGATACCAAGTCACTTGAATACTTCCCGTTAAATTATCTACAGAAGAGACTATTAAGGTTGCAAGTGATTTCGCGTCTCCAATTAGGCGGATTTTTCTGGATGGAATCCAGTAGCTTCAGGGTATGCTTAGGATTGGAGCTCCATACACGAGAATAATACTTCAAAGGGGGTCCGATCTGAGCTTTACAAAGCATTAAAAGTTGCTTAGTTGTGCGACATGATTGTGTCAAGACATATTGGTTTACATTTTAATCCCCTACAAACTTATCGAAGCAGAAGTTGGAATTGTCTGACCTGACGTTATTACATCCGATTCGTACACACATCTTTTTGGAGAAAACGGATGCTTGGGTTTTTCTGGCATTGAATTGAACGTGGTTACTTTCACCCCAATTCAAAATTACTCATAGATCCTCATTAGGATGTGCAACCTCCTGCTGGCGGTGAAGATGTACATCCTCCGCAGACGTTCTGGAATCCAAATGGAATGACGAAACAAGTGTGCTGTCGTCTGCAAAGGAATATATTGGATTCTTGTTTTTTATTCAATAAGTCGTTGATATACAATAGAAAGTTGGTTGGAGACAATATAGATTCTTGTGGAACACCAGCGTTGATGGTGAAAGTATTTGACAGATATCTACCGACGGCCACTTGCAGGAAACATTTTTTCGGGAAGCTGGAGAGTCCAAATATGGGTGACATACGATAGAAGGTCACCTGTTATGTTGAAGCCTTCCAAATTTCCAAAGATATGGTGGTTTACGGCTTTCTCCATGATTTTTGATATCACTGATAGCAAAGTGGCGGGTCTATAGTTATTTGGAAAATTTTTCTTGCTCTTTTTGGGAATAGGCTGACTGCGAGCAATATTCAATTCAAACAATTTCAAACAAAAAGGAAAAACCCCTTCTTTGTAAGACAGGTTNATCCCCGTTTATGACATGTGACCTCTCTGATCGGTAATCATTATTCCGTTTTTCATTTTCTTGTACACTCCGCAATACTAAAAATATAACTACTAATATCACGTACATCTCAGTAATACCATATAACAAATATAACAAAAAATCATAATTACACGATAAAAAGTGATATCTATATAATACATAAAAAATAGTGAATTTTTCTCAAAATACTCTGTCTGTCACATAGTTTTCTCAAGTGATGTGTTACCAACAATGTTCGTTTGAGGATCATTAAAAGTTTCAAAGGACTCCAGATTTTATGTGTAATGAATTTCATTCTCAAATAATCATATTAATATTACTTTCATTATTTTCGTATTCGGAAAAAATACTGGTGAAAAACAATAAAATATTCATTTTCAACAGATGAAGCTGGCAGACAACTGCCACTCGATGTTTCATCATTTGACGTTTTGTGAGCCATTCCCCATCGACACCTTCCGATAGATTTCGAAATAAAACTGTGTGTATGAATTGAAATACATTATAGGTACTAAAGAATCTGGTATTGAAGAAACTTCACATTAAAAATATTTTTGAAATATCTACTCTATCCTCTTTTAACAAAAATCCCATTAACGACGGTTAAACGATATTTTGACTCTTATAAAAATAATCAAACAAATTACAGTCATATAATTATTCTATAACAGAGCTGTTCCAAATGACAGAAATGAAAATTTGATTATTTTGACCACCTTTTCGATNTGTATGACCAACATTGCATCCAGTTCAAGTATTTCTATTTTCCATTCAGTATATTTTACATATGTAAACAATGCCATGAAGTGTATACTATTTTGTCAATAATCAATTGTAGAATAATAACACAAATGTTCATTTGTAGAAAAAGGCAGTGGAAGAGATTCGCAAAGTTATTGGAGAAAATCCACGGGAAGTAACAATCCAAGACTTGAGAGAATTGGAATATCTTGATATGTGTGTCAAAGATGTCCTAAGACTGTTTCCTATAGCTCCATTTATGTTAAGGAAGGTCACGGAGGACTACAAACTAGGTAAATATATTTTGACAAAAGTTACAACATAATTCTAAATGTATTCAACCCGACGTCAACTCGGGCGATAACGATATTGAAAAATGTGAAAGAGATAATTATTGTTGAAAAACACACCAGAAAACATCACTCTTCCTCAATATACTCGATATCAAATCTTATACGCCTTAGCTTTTTCATTCGAATAACTTGAAATTCCGACATGATCAAACAATAATATGACATAACCTCAGATGATAATAATATCACATCCTTACCGCAGTCATCATAACACCATTCAAGATAAACTTTTTCAGTGTTCTATTATGATATTCCTGGTAAAATTTCAGTATAAAATGAAAGCTATTGGAAAAATATTGACAACACAAATAATGGTAAAAATTACCTAATATAGATCACCTGCTTGGTGATTTCTAATGAAATCGTCACTACGTGTTTTTCACGTGAAGCCAGCCACAGATAAGACACTTTCCCTTCCAAAGTATCATCCTTCACCGGTTACAGTTCAGAACCCAGACAATGCTACCACCTGTTCCATCAGTTCCTTCAAACACATACACAGAGGGTGTCCACCGATTCTGAGTATGACAGTAAACGTAGGCGAATCTATGTCTTCTCACTTCATCTCAGTCACTATGTTCGAATTGAAGAAAAATAATACTTGGCATCCTAGAATAGTGAAAATAAAAAACAGAAATTTAAATAATTTGTATGTTACATAAGTCAAAATTGACAAACATGTTTTCTTCGTATTCAGATTGTCTCGTGCACAGTACAAAATGACATGTGGAAAAATTTAATTTTACATTTTTGTTGGTTTTTCAACAAAGAGAACTGTTGTTTCTGGGAAAATTAGCTTCCTAAAGAAGGTCATAGACACATTTCAAAGAAAATTATCATATATGCTTTTATTTGAAATAAATACTGATAGATAGATAGATGTATTTTCCTTGAAAACACCTCAACTGAAAAATCAACTAACGACCACTACTTGATGCAATAGAAAACAATATTTAGACCTTCTCCATTTTCAATGAAGTTAGATCTATCATATTAGTTTATTTCGTTGAGTCGATTTTTGATGATGAATGTTCTGGTGAGTATATAGTTTATTTCATCAGTTCGGACTTCCATTGTCTAATATATTATAAATTGATTTGAAATTCCTGAAAAATAAAAAGGATTAACCGAAAATAACACTTTCATTTGATAAAAAACTGGAATAACAAAAAAATAACATAAAACCAAAACAACAACCAAAATTAAAAATTGAAACATTAATAAAAGCTG